ACATCCAAAATATTTCAGAAACGAGCTCATTAATCGCATGGATCCACGAACAGCGACGTATTCTACGATTTAACCCAGTTACTCGCCGCTTGAAGCTGGCCAAGATTCCCTCCCCTAAGAGTCTTCCACATCTATCCCCCTGGCTCATTTATTTTTCTTTTTTTTCGAAATTCCATGAAGGGAAAGATGGTTAATGCCATTTCTTTCAAAAGACTGCAGCGTGAGAGAATTTTTCAATTAGCTTCGTTCAGTGGCCGTTAGATACCTGCATGACAAAGTGGTGCAAGTACCTACCAGCACGATATTCCAGGCGAACTTTCAGTTGAGTCTGCGTAATTATAATCACGATCTCATTGAGTTTTCACTGTTTAACGATATCTCTCGTCAAAAAGTTAAAAATTAAAATATTATACGCAAGAGAAAATTCTTAGCTTTAAAGCCATATATAAAATGATCTACTTTTATACATACAGTATATGAAACGAGAGATGACTATCATAATTATATCGAAACGGAGCTGAAAATATATATGGAAATTACAAGATATTATTGGAAATACATCTACCAACATATCGCGCAGATCGCCAAAGTATTTGAACACCTAATTTTTCGCTATATTAAAAAGCCAAAATATTTAGCGAGACCATCTTTCGCACTAATTGTATGCTCAAGACTGTTCGCGTGTATTAATTTTTCATTAAATACAAGGATATGTTTGCAATAAATATCTTGTAACTTCGCTACACGCTTTCGGACACTGTTTCACATTTAACTGTCATAATCACGATAGTCGTGTCTCTTTATGGCGCTAACGAAATTCCAAAAAATTGCATGGTAAGTGTCCGGATGTTTTCGTGAGCCACTGTATAAATATACAACATCCAAGAGAGAAACGGGAAATCTTGGAATAATCGAAATATTTCGTTATTTGTCACAGAACGAATAACCGTGTCCCATTAAAAATTCAATCTACACAATGGCAGTTTTCCGATTCGCGTTATGGATAATCGACGATTTGACTCTACTGATCAAATAAAGGGATGAAATCGGGGTATCTGATGCGCGTTCTATTACAGATTATCATCTTGGTGCTCCTACGTGACTTGATTAATCGTCCGATCTGTATATTTAATTCCTTGGCGTGCAATCGATAGTGACTCGCGTCGCCGACACCGGAACAATTATCCGTGAAGCAATACTCGAACGTACGTGCTATGAATTTCCGGAGTTGACGGCCGATTTGAATAGGACAGTCCGATCTGTCCCAAGGAGATCGTTGGTCGTCGTAGTTCCAGTGGAACGTGAGACAGATTAAATGAGCTCCGTGATCTCGAAATTGAAAATGAGCTTCTGGAACTCTTCTGTATGTTCACATTCCTTGGTTGCTTCGAGTCCTCTTTCTTTCCAATGTAACGAGCTAATGTCAAATAAGAGTCTTGATATGATTTTCAGATTTTCCGAATTTGGGTTGATAATATTGGGTTGGCTAAATAGTAAGGTCAGATTTCTGCAGTAGATAGTGTTCTTTTGCTTTTCAATAATAAGAACACAGTAAGCTACGTATCCCAGTAATAACGATATAATCGGCAAGTGAGAGATTCTATGTGAAAAGACAAGTATCGATACGATTCAAATAAAATTGTCAGTTTCGTAATGTTCGACAAATTGCTTCGAAGTGTCACAAACGTCACGAATTTTCAGAATGCTTAAAGAGCATCAAATATGCCCAAACGAAACTCTTGCTGTTGCTAAAAAAATTAGCGAAGTGAAATCGTGTCAAAGCATTAAAAGCCCTCGAAACTTGTACGGTATTAAATATCCCAGAAACTTCCAAAGCGTTAAAAATCCCCAAAAGTTTCAAGATACTTAAATATTCAAAACATTCAAAACATAGCGCGTCGCAAAGGAGACTCTCGATCTCTATCGAAAGTCATCTTCAATCAACTCAAGTAAGCATCAAACACTCTCTTACAAAAATCTCAAGCGAGTATTTATTATTTCGGTTAGACTTTATGGGAGTTGTTTGCTTGATGATCTCATATTCTAAAGTTTTCTAATACGATTACATGCCTCGAATTTTTCGTGTTATTCGATACAAATATATTATAATGCTTTATAGGGTAAAACCATCGAACAAACATCTCCGATGTAATCCAACGTAAGCCACTATACACGAGACCTCTCATCGCTTCACAAGCAATTGTTATTATCCACCATAACCAGGTAGTATCACGCAAACATCTGATGAAACTTGGCCGTTGCGGAGTGCAGAGTCGATTTTCAACTTATTTCCCACATTAATTGGTTTATGGATTAGGCGGGTGGAGCGTGTAGCACGTGCCTGAGCAGCGAGTTGGTAGGGGATGGTTCGTGATCGACGAAGGCAATGAACGAACAGCGGGGTGAGGCGAAACAGAAAGAAAGCGCGTTCAAGCAAAACAAGAAACACGCGGCGACAAGAGAGAACGGTGAAGGAGCGCGTGCACTGGAATGGGGCAAAAGGGCGAGGTAAGGAACGAGCAGAGAGAGCGAAAGAGCGCGTGCGACCGAGAGGGCACGACGATCTAGAGTGGAGGAGCATGCGCGGGTGGGAGTGGCACCTTATTCGTCGTGCAGCTCCCGCCAAGGCTTTCTGTCAACTACGAACTCTCGGACGGAAAAGATACCCTGTCAACATATCGCGACGTGTACGATCGACGCGAAAAGTTCTCTATAATCCAGCAGTTTTACAGTGAAACGTTTCGTTGATAACGTGACACTCGGACAAAATTCGACACCGTGTACGATTGTGAACGTCGGTTTACACTTCGTTTTGTATTCCGTGCGTGTAAACGTTGGGTAACATCCTTCAGTGAGATTCTGTTTACATTCGAAGTCGTGCCCAAGTATCGACACAACTTGTTCACGAGTGTATATAACGGATAGTGATAGAGGAATATAATTTAATCACGAAATACCTACATCTTATGAGGATTATATGGGTTCATGGAGGACAAGTGATCGGATGCAGCAAGTGTGATTAGAGTGATACAGTGATACTGTTCGATCGTATCGATCGATAGGAAGAGAGATGGTGACAATTAACCATATCGCGAGGCAGTGTCACGTGGTGTGCGGCTAAGTGGCACGTGGCTGTGTCTCGTTTGAATGCGTTTTAGAGTGACGCAGGAAGCATCTCTTAGTTTTCTGCAGCAGGTTACCAGAAGTCAACGCGGAAGCCGACTACTGCAGTACCGTAAACACATTGTACAGTAGAGTGTACGTAAATCATTAGACGAAACAATCTCTTTGAAATTGTATTTAATTCCATTGGAATACCTAAATGTTGTTTAATTAAATAAATGATTAACGAACTGAGAGGAATATAGTCGAATGGTATCGTCGGTGAAAAACATGTGTCTTTCAGGAAAATAGTGGATAATTAATTCGGTTACTAATTAGTCGCTGACCAAAGTGACAAATACGGGTGGTTGACGAACTGGTTGGTTCGACGGATTTGCTGATTAAACTCGCCATCGGATGACCTGGTAGTGTTCGGATGAAAGGGCGGGCTAATGAGACCGGGGAGACGCCTCGAAAGCTTCTCGTAAGAACGCGGTAGATACCGGAAGGACGAACGGAAAGTATCGGCAAGATTGGCAATTTCCATCGAGAGTGGATAGAAAAAAGATGTGGGTCACTTGAAGTATATGAGCAACTGCAACCGGTTTTTCTTAGCTATTATCGAGCAACTAAGCGATCCGTGAGCTTCAGCAGTGCGTATGGCCAAGAGTCTGGGATAATAGTGATGTGAGAATTTTGAAAAAATTAAATGAGTTTTATCGTGAGATTATAAAAAGTGATCAAAGGTGATTTAAACATAGTGTCGACAAAATGATTTGTTAAGAATATTTCAAGTTTGAAATGAATTTCCAATATAAGGATTAAATGTATGTAAATTTCTCAAAGTCGATCTATCGCCTCGATTTATGGTGATCGAACTGATCTAGGTATCTATAAATTCTAATAGATTGGATTATTGGAAACGTTTGAAGCTTGTGCCCCAACGTTACACGAAGAAAATATATATACATCCGTTAAAGAGAAGCTATTTCCTCGATTTACGTTCCAGCATGGAAATATAATTATAAAAGATGATCGACGTGATTTGTGTGTCTATAAATCGGATTATCGGAACTGGATAAATTGGATTCTTGCTGAAACATAAATCTTCTAAAAACCATCTATTTCCCCGACATACGTTCCGCTATAAAAACATAATTATAAAAAGTGACAAAAGCGATTTAAGTATCTATAAATTTCATTAGATTGGATTACTCGATCTAATCGAGTCTGTGATCCAAAGATAGACGAAAAAGATACGAATTGTCTTATGAAGGATTTATTTCCTCAATCTACATTATCCAGTTATAATTATAAAGTGTAATTAAAGTGATTCTATCTGTCTATAAATCCGTGCATTAAACTAGAATTAAAACAAAAGAAGAAGAAAACCTAAATCTCCAAAGAGTGATTTATATTGTTAATTTTTAAGCAAAGGATCAATCCAAAATAGAAGAATTCTGATAATAGCGATATTTCTGATCAAGCCCAAAAATCAATGTTTCAATAATCTGGAATCACGAATAAAAAGCGGAGGAAACGTTCGAGACGGTATTACATCTCGCCACCTCGATCCAAACGATCCGAATGTCCCCGCCCATCGAACGTTTCGACGTTCGGTGTCGACCACGAATTGCTGGAAGAATTCGAAGGAGCCTTTGAAATTCTAGGACGAGATCGGAAAAGAGCAAGAGGATAAAAGGGAGGAGAGGAAGTGTAATCTAGTAAGGTGGAAACTCGCCAAGTGGTAAAGAAGTGCGAGGTGTCCTGGATCGAGGCTATCCAGGTGTCCCAATCGGTTGGATTAACAGTCGCAGGGTGCAAATTACAAGACGCGAGTGGTTCCCTCGAGGGACGACCGGTCTGCGCGGAGACATTTCTCAGATGTCGAGCGAACGATGAAGCACTCGAGGCGAGCGAGTGGCTCGAGTGTCACTTCGATCGCGAGCGATTCGTGTTCCAGGTGCAAGGGGATGTGTCCGACGAAAATGCGGCTCGCGCTACTGCTGCTCTGCTCTCTGTTCGGGACAGGTGAGAAAACGTCTCTACCTCTTTCTAAGAATTCGCTTAACACTTATGGGCAGAAGTTTGTAGAATTAATCGGAGTCGGAACTGGGGCTATAGAGTTAATTCCTATTTTGGGTGAAATTTGAGCTCGCCGCACATTTTTTCTTATTTTAGAGGTCATTAACAATTTAATATATTATTATTACTAGACTGTGGATTTTTATTCATTTGTGGAAAATTTGAAGGCACAAAAATACACAGAAAATAAAATATAAAATGTGTGAAATATATTATCCCTTACAGTATTTAGTACGTGAAAGAATTAGTACGTGAATAAAAGAATACTACTTAGGTACCGCTCCTTAAATTACGTTTATAAACATATGAATCTGCGCAAATATCTGGAATCTAATTATTACTGTCTAATAATAGAGAAGGAACGGAAGATCTATTACTTGCAGTGGATATAAATAGCATTGCAATGGTATTATTATGAGACGACAGTATTGAAATAAAGAAAATTAGAATCACGATTGTAGAATTTTTTTCTATTCAGTCTATGATGTAGATTTTTAGATCTATTATAATATCTATAATAGTGACTAATAGTAGTGTGTGGATAATAGATTGTGGATCAATGAAATCAATTAGGTTATACCGGTATCGAAGTGAAATTTTAATTCTGATATTGACACTAGAACTGAACAAAGCATGGGCAAAATGATCAATTGAAGAGATTTTTGAAACAGATAATATTTTGTAAAATATTTGGATAAAAGCTTGTTTTTCTCATTGTATTGTGTATTTTCTTGTATATCTTTCATTTTAATTTCACAATAAATTTAATTTCAATTTAATTTGGTTTGGTACAAATTTCATACTTTAGTCATGAACAGTTCGAGTGTTAATTGTAAATTGAAAGATCGATGGAACGCGCGTATAATATTTCATTGTTTTGCTTTAGATATTGTGCTAATGCAGGAAATAGCTAAAGCAGTACACCACTATTCACAAGTCGCAGAACATATACAATACTACGTTTACGATAGAGATAAATGAGAATGCTCTGGTTAGGAAATGTAGTACACACTTGTTAGCCGCGTGTTCGGATAATATTAGGAAACGTAAATTGTGTTTCTATTTTACCGATTATTTTTCGTTTTACGAATCTCCAAGCATTCGTGAATACGTATATACATTATTAACTTGTTTGAATATTTAAAATTACAAAGAATTTCTATACTACAATTCAGTTTATTCAAAATGACTGTCTTTTTTTTCTCCTGTATATTTTTATATTCGGAATTTTTTTGAGTACTTATGAGAATATTTTCTCAGATGAAAGAAATCAAATCCAATTAAATCATAAATTAAAGCTTGTTTAGAAATCAGCAAATTTTGAGAAAATTTTCAATGTGAGACTGGAATCTGGAAACAGGTTGTTCATATTTTTCTGCGAACTAGGAAATTTCGCAGCGATTGGGTACAAAATGATGTAGTTTAAATTTTTCCCTGTTTCTTGCTTTCTGTTGAATACAAAAGGCTGATGGGCTGGTAGACAAATTCATCGAGGGCCATAAATTTCCGTTTCTTCTTAACGCTTTAATCTCTGATGCCCGGCAGGGAATTTAATCTTCGCCTAGGATAATTGAAACTTTTTCACGGGTTTTCGCCTGCTGTTTACCGGCTATCTGACCGGATAGCCGAACGGTTGGTAAATTGAATCGCGTTTTTCGTTCAGACTTTGGCTTTGAGACGCTTAATTGCTACGGCGAGATTCAACCAGCTCTGAGAAATATAGCCGGCCGCTGTATTCACCCGCAACGAAACATCCTTGATCCCTTGGCGCTACTCCTGTTGGAGAAATCGTTTATTTTAGGGCGACTGGCAACCGAGGGGCGGAAGTTATTAACGAATGTAGACACGAGGATGATTCACGGGACAAGATTCTTCCATTTGGCCAGCCATCTGTTGGATTCTATAGAACGTAGTTTTGAACGTAGTGTTGGGTCTGAAAATATGCGAAATGGATGATAGTCTAGATGTTTGTGATCTTGAACAGAATTTTTACGGCATAGGTGTTAAGTTGGGAAATATCGAACTGATCAGAACCTTTAGGATGAAGGTGTTAACTTTGTGAAATGTGAAAGAAAAAAGCAGAGAGTGTCATTCATCTCAATACATAATTCACTATAAAATATTCTAGAATTTGAAGGCAAATGCGCTCTTATGATCAATGTTATCCCAGTAAACATTCAGATGACAGAAATTGTAACAATTTCGATCTGAAAATTTCACTTTGACGTATATTTAATTAAGCTCTAACGTTACATGTCGACAAACGTTGAAATTGATGAACATGTGGTTAATACACTGAAAACTGTCAATTTCTGTTATGATACACTATATCAATGAAAAATCTATTTTTTCGTCAGTATTGTAATATAATATTTCGTTGCAATTCGTCCATCTACTTTCCGAACGAAGATATAATAGAATTATTGATACAAAATAAAATAAAAATTTGGATTCATGGACTAAATTAAACTACTTCTCATTATTTCCTATTAATCTTTTGATTTTTATTCTAGTACGCACAGTATTTCATTTTATAATTGAGTTTTCTGAATATTTATGTTACTGATGGAATGATATTGATTTTCTTCCATGGTTCAGCTGGAATTACTCACTTACAGGGTGTCTTCGTAATCATATTACAAACAGCAGAGGAACGATTATACGTGCGAAATTAAATGGAAAATAAAAAATGTAATTTTTCATTACACGCTCTGTTTTCGAGAAAATTGAAATTATAATAATAAAATTAAAATTATTTATCCTACGAATATATATATATAATATATATATAATATATATATTATATATATATTATATATATATATTCGTAGGATAAATAATTTTAATTTTATTATTATAATTTCAATTTTCTCGAAAACAGAGCGTGTAATGAAAAATTACATTTTTTATTTTCCATTTAATTTCGCACGTATAATCGTTCCTCTGCTGTTTGTAATATGATTACGAAGACACCCTGTAAGTGAGTAATTCCAGCTGAACCATGGAAGAAAATCAATATCATTCCATCAGTAACATAAATATTCAGAAAACTCAATTATAAAATGAAATACTGTGCGTACTAGAATAAAAATCAAAAGATTAATAGGAAATAATGAGAAGTAGTTTAATTTAGTCCATGAATCCAAATTTTTATTTTATTTTGTATCAATAATTCTATTATATCTTCGTTCGGAAAGTAGATGGACGAATTGCAACGAAATATTATATTACAATACTGACGAAAAAATAGATTTTTCATTGATATAGTGTATCATAACAGAAATTGACAGTTTTCAGTGTATTAACCACATGTTCATCAATTTCAACGTTTGTCGACATGTAACGTTAGAGCTTAATTAAATATACGTCAAAGTGAAATTTTCAGATCGAAATTGTTACAATTTCTGTCATCTGAATGTTTACTGGGATAACATTGATCATAAGAGCGCATTTGCCTTCAAATTCTAGAATATTTTATAGTGAATTATGTATTGAGATGAATGACACTCTCTGCTTTTTTCGCCATATTTTATATACTCGGTGAATCCGAAATTTTTTGTTGTATACGTAAGTGGTTACGAGAATACTTTATATATTTTTATGAATTTCGAGTGTAAAATATACGTTTTGAAAATGACGTTTATCGAGCATACCAATGGCTGCTACACAATGTCTAAACACTGGCATTGTTTTGCATACGTATTGGATTCCATAGAAAGCATCTTCTGAGAAGAGATGTTGAGAAGAGCCGATTAGTTTAATATACTTTCAAATATTTCCTAACGTTTGTAATATCTATTCTTTGATATTCTGCGTCGTTACATGGAGAACAAATTATATTTACATTTGAAAAAATTAAATCGACCCATTTCAAATTAAGTTGTCTTTATTAAATTTCAATTTCATACTTATGAAAATGCATGGTTCTGTTATTAGGATCAATATCCAGATTAAATGATACACGCGAAACGTGAAATTCATAGCAATGTTCTCCTTAATTAAAACGTCGCATTTAAAATATCTAGTAAATTTAATTAAAAATATTATTGTTCCTTTCATCGTTTTATTATCCTAATAATGGCTTATACAGCTATACAGCTTATGCATTTATTGAAAATTGAAAATTATATAGAATGCACGTATGAAAGATATATGAAATACCTAAAGTACCAAGTACCCCAATACCAGTAATATTTGATAATATTTTGTAAAACAATTTTCTATCGAGATTCTATATTTTTAATTATGTTCTCAGAAACATGAATTTGCATAAAAATTTGAATACAGCTTAAAAAGTAAAAAAAAAAAAATGGAAAATTTAAATTATTTCGACGTATTAAAAAAAATGTAAGGAAATCCTAAATAGAATATATTAACTAAGGAGCGCACTGTATTCGTCATCATTTTATCTAATTCGTTGTCATTTTGAAGATGTAAAAACTAAATAACATGCGTGAAACGCAAAATTCGCGCCAAATGCAGCGATTACAACGAACTTTTCTAATTCGAGCTATTCGACGCGAACGTTTTCAGACGCAATCGCCTTCTCTCAACTCGTACAAAAGAGCGAGTTGAAAATCGTGGGCGAGGCTTTAAAAGCATTCCGTGGACTAACCGCGGCACTTGTTAAATAATGAATCCGGTAATCGTCGTTTATAACTTAACGTTTCAGCCGCGCGTTTCTGTAATTTTCATTCACGTCGGACGATAAATATGAACGGAAATATATGTACAAGTGAATCGCGAGATGTTTCGACGAACGACTGGTGATAGCGAAAGAGTGTGGATTGGCAAGGCGACTGAAATCCCGTGTAATAAATATTTCAGCTAACCAAATATTTTAATATATTTCACCTACACAATTCGTTGTTTGACGAAACGAGGCGTACCAGGTGCAATTTCGCTTTTTATCGGGGTGATATTTGTTCCACGCGTTGTAAAACTCA